CCAGACTCTAAAATTTTAATTTCCATATCTCATTGGTTTTGTCGAAATACTATAATTAAGTGCCTACCTAGTATTACTACCTATTTACCCACACCAACTGACAATAACTAATATACGTACCCATACTTATTGTCTATTGTTACTACCTATGTGATATAATATATATATTAATTTAATTCGAACAACATTTTTTGGATATTTCACTAACATGATTATCATATATATATATATATATATATATTATATATATATGTATGCTAACCAATTGGTTTTCTTTACCGATAAAATATTATCTTTTGCGCATTTACGCGTTTACCAGTCATGATATCTAAAATACTTAAATACCTATAGGTTTTGAACTTTATCAATTTACATATCCGTTTAGAACTACCTACTTAAGTCTTGGTAGGTGTACTTATCAATGTTTTAATATTTTTATCCACAAACACTGTTGTTCATTATCTACTTAGGTACCCATAGTCTATAGATGGACTACGTGTGACACTCATTTCAACTGCAAATATATAGGAAGGTTACCTACTACCTACTTAACGTAAATTTTTACGTGTTATCWATTRTTACTTATTGTTATGATACAAATTACCTGCATCAAATCATAYTAAAACAATAATTTCAATAATTTTAATGGTCAACGTCGCTGAAAGCTGAAACATTCCGACGAGAAATGCTGTGGACCAGTGGAGATATAATATAGTACTTATATACTTACCTATATGGCTATACCTATACTGCAACTGCATCACATTGTGATAATTCGTTAAGCACGACTGACCTTGCGATTAATTTGAGGTGCAATTTTTGACTTTACTCAGGTGGGTAACTTAATCATTACTTTTGATATTTATTGTAAAACGAATAATATTACTATAATAACTATCAGAATTTCAGAGTGTTTTATCCGCCAGCTTTCTGTTGATTGTAAATTGTACTATATTAGTTCTTGATTTTTTATACAAAATATAGATATCATTCGTAGACCACATATAAAATTACTACGGGAGCCATGTGTAGATTGCATACCTCTAAGGTATATTATTGGATTTTCTGTACCTACCCTGTACGGCCGTGTAAAATATACAAATCAGTATAATACTGTATGGGCTTGGAAGCAATATRTTCAAAAGAACTCGTTTCAATGATTTTGTTCAATTTTCAAGAATTTTACGGGAGCATAGTTTATTCTTCATGTTAAGAAACRTTTTGGAATTTTGTTCATGTTTTAGAGGTCATGAACGGTTTTTTTCGTTCATTTATATTTTCATAAATAAAGGGGATTTTAATAATGCTTAGAGTAAGTCTTATGCATTTTTTTTTTTTTTCAGAAATTTAGACAGTATAATAAGTTAGGTATATAATTAAGCCTATCTAAGATAATACATTGACAATGTTCGCAACATTTTAGTCATTCACAAAATTATATCAATATGTTTTAAAAATTATCGAGAAATGAAACATGGTTTATTTTTAGGAACTAGTTCCTTTCTTTAAGCCAAGAATAAGAAATGATTTAGTTTCTTTTCAACAAGATGAACGTGAACCAATTACTTTTTTAAAGGAAATTTCCAATAGCACTGCAGTGTAGGTATAGCTGATCCTTGCTAAATTGTATACGATGTCCAGACTTGAGAATCAAGTAGCATTGATCACCTCAGCAACGTCTAAAATTGGATACACATACGCCAAATATCTACTCCAAAATGGCGTCAAGGTAGATAATATTATAATACCAATTACCAGGTAGTACCTAATTGATTTGTTTTTAATAGTTGACAGTCGTTGTATTGAATAATGTTTTAGAAATATATTTTAGACTCTGATTGGAGAGGTATGAATGTATTATTGGTTCTACCAAAATAATTCCAAATTTTTAGTTATCAAAGTGGACTTTGTTKATACTTTAGGGAAGTGGTGGGGTTAAGAGATAAAATAAATAAGAATGTAGTGTGCACTGTGTACGGTGTGTAATAATTTTTTTTTAAATATTCTACAGGCATTTTCTATTCTTAAAATAGTCGGAGCTTAAACTGATTTTTTTTCAAAATTAATTAAAGCTACTAMCTATGTAACTATGTTATTATATTTATATGAAATCTATAGTCAAAATTTCGAAATTGTCATCTTAGTGTCAAAGGTAGAACATTTGTTTTTTTTTTCAGAGAGGCCTTAATTTCAGTTTTTAGAACTAGACTACTTGCCACCTGTTGCTTTATCACATTATAGTTCACAAAACAAACTTCGGGGAGGGAAGAAATTGACCTTAARTGTTCTCCTAGCTACAGCACTGATTTTCCTAATAGTTAAAATAATATTTAGAACGCAGCAAATTTCCGATAAAACATTTTTCTGAATATTTACAATCTACAATTAGGTGGCATTATGCGATGTAAATTTAGAAGACTGTCAAACGGTAGCTAATGAATTATCGAATGAGTTTGGTGTTGAAAAAATTTTGGCATTGGAGTGCGCTGTTGCAGACCAAATGCAACTTGAAAGTGAGTTTTTTTGAAATCATTCAGTTTAAAATTTTAATCACTTTKTATACTGTAGCCTGTAGCAACTATAAATATTTATAAAATATATTCCACCTGCTTTCGTAGGTGAGAGAATCCTSTACTCAGAAAATCACTGTAATTACATTTTACATGTATTGTAAGAAAAATAAACATTATTAAATAATTTTGTATTATTATTACTGAAATAATTTACAGGGTTGTTAGAGACCAGAAAAACTATATCGAAATCCACAGTTGTGTTATATTAAATAGATAAATTAAAAAAGTATTTAATGAATACAATATTAAGTAGCTTAAGTTAACCTTCTCAAATATTTTTGAGTTTAAAAAAAAAGCGGGTAAGTCGTGGATGTCACTCTGCTGTACAGTAGGTTACAAGTGGGTTACTGTAATGGATGGAATTAAATTTGAATCCAATGATATTATATCATTGTATACGAAAAACGATTCTGAGCGAAGACGGCTTATCTGTCTAGGATATATTATAGATTATTAAAAATTTTCAAATCTTAGATTTAAAATAACATATTTTTTTATGAATTTCTAGCTTAAAATAATTTGAACATTGCCGTAATTTTTACGTATTTAGTTAAAATTTGAACTTTAAATACTTATAAACAAAAATTGTGACAATCTATTTATTTTATTTTTCCACTGCTATTGTAAAAATATGTTAGGAGCCTTGTATTAAATTGTCAAGCTTTTTTACCAAACAAATACATTTTTATCGATATTAGTTTAAAAAAAAGCTAATAATGATTGAAAATTGCATATACCTATGAATAGTTCAACTTAAGTCAAACATTTTTGAAAATTTTATGGTGGTTAGAATATACCTATATAAATATTTGGTGAAATTTTCATGTATCTATGGTCATTTGTTTTAAAGTTACATCAAAAACCAAATGCTTAGTCACAATTTTTTTTTACAATCATTCAAAGTTTGAATTTTAGACAACATACGTAAAAATTACGAAAATTCATAAATTATTTTATGCTAGAAATTCATTAAAAATTGTTCTTTTATATCTTAGAATTTAAAATCGTATACAAGGCTCCTAACATATTTTTACAATAGCAGGWGAAAAATGAAAGAAATATATTAGCACATTTTATTTTTATAAGCATTCAATGTTTGAATTTTGACAACATATTATGTAAAAACCACGAAAATTCGTAAATTATTTTAAACTAGAAAATTCATAAAAGTTTTCCTTTTTTAATTTAAGATTTGAAAATTAAATACAAGGCTCCTAACATATTTTTACAATAGCATGTTAAAAATAAAAGATATATATATATAGGCACAATTTTTTTTACAAGCATTCAAATTTTGGATTTTGACAACATACGTAAAAATTACGAAAATTCGTAAATTATTTTATGCTAGAAATTCATAAAAAAATTTCCTTTTATATCTAAGATTTGAAAATTTAATACAAGGCTCCTAACATATTTTTACAATAGCAGTTGAAAAATAAAAGAAACACATAGTCACAATTTTTTTTTTATAAGCATTTAAAGTTCAAATTTCGACTAAATACGTAAATTACGGCAATGTTCAAATTATTTTATGCTAGAAATTCATAAATTTTTTTTATTTTAAATCTAAGATTTGAAAATTTTTAATAATCTATAATATATCCTAKACAGATAAGCCGTCTTCGCTCAGAATCGTTTTTCGTATACAATGATATAATATCATTGGATTCAAATTTAATTCCATCCATTACAGTAACCCACTTGTAACCTACTGTATAGCAGAGTGACATCCACATTCCCGTTTTTTTTTTATATAGTATATTCGGGGTAAGTTAAGTAAGTTGAATTAATATTTTTTGCATATTAAAATTGAAATATTTTATTTATAAATTTATAATACTATATTATATAGACAAAAGAGATTAACAAAATCAGATAATAGATAATAGTCAATAGATATAGACCTACACCACTGATTGTTTTATAAATCTATACATATACAAAATATTTATGAAAAAAAACTAAATATATTTGCAGTTCACTACTTGCCTTAAATTGTTAAATCCAGCATATCCTTAACTTTTATTTTGATTGCATATACCTTTTATAAGTGGCAGTAYCTGATTGCGCACTAAATGATATGTGTATTGTGCGTATGCTATATTGAATTATACCTATATCTACAGGCTACAGGTTACAACAATACAATATAATAATACCTACATGGCTACAGGTTTTCTATGCATTCAGAAAAGAATTTGATATTAACTCAAAATTTTCATTAACAATTACAGGCTGATTAGGTCTTACAAACAAATAATGATCATTATTGGCATGGTGAAAAATAATTGTTCTTTTCTAAACTATTATGTTTTAAACGAAATATAGGTTTATATTATTATTAGGTACTTGTAAAAGAGCATAACGTGCTAAAACATTATATTAACAATAAATGAAAAAAATAAATATTATAAATACTCAATAATCAATATAGGTACCTACTTTTTTGTTAATGTAAAGATAAAACATGTATCAAACAATTCACTTATCATAATGAAGTTTTTTCCAAACAGCGCGTATTATATAATATAGTCAATGATCAATGTTAATTTTTGTTTGTATAAAAATATAACATGTGATTAGGTTCCATACATATATTATATCATTAAGAACAAAAACTATTAAATTAATTATTTTACAAGGTACCTATTAATAATACGAGTATGTTTTATAATATACAGAGTGTAAAAGGTCTATTTGCTAATGGTGGTGATATTCATCACGTGATCATGTTAAATAATGTTAAATAATGATAAAAAGGGAGTTTCTCGAATGCGTCCCGAAATCATTCTTTTTAAAATTTTAAATGTTACGAGTGTGTTCAAAATAAGGTAACACCCGATTGCGATCCCATAAAAAAGTAATATTTTTGACATAGTTTTAGTGCATGCTAGTTAATTTAGAGTCACTCAGGGTGCACCACGAGGAGGTGAACTGGCTTACGCCCCAAAAATATTTTGTGATTATTATTCATGATAATATATTATATTTTAGCTTTCACCYATGAATTTGGGCGAGTGTACTAATTATATTAAACGGATTTTTGTTTATTTTAAGAAATATGTTATTCATTTGAATGGCGGACAATTTCCCCCCGGACATTTTCCCCCTGACTATTTTTGGCGTAGTAGGACATTTTCCCCCAATATATTTTCGATGCGGACATTCCCCCCCCCCTCCAATTTTTTTTTTAAGTTTATTATTCTATTCTATAATATTATTTATTATTTAATTAGAAATTATTTTTTTTTAATAAAATATTTTTTTTTTCATAAATATAATCAATTATACTATAATTAACTTTATAAAATTATACTATAAATCTTTTAAATATAATATTACTATTATTTTATTGTTTCAAGTAGTTGAATTTATCAAAAATATACATCTTCTATAATAGGTAATTATAGTATAATTGATTATATTTATGAAAAAAAATTTTTTTATTCAATAATAAACTTAAAATAAAATGGGGGGAAATGTCCGCATCGAAAATATATTGGGGGAAAATGTCCGGGGGGAAATTGTCCGGATACCATTTATTTATTTTTTAGTAAGTTGTTTAAAAATCAATGATGTAAGATGTAACCAAATTAAAAGTTTTAAACGCCAAAACCTGTTTTTAAATTCTTATTTATAAAATAGGTATCTTGAATTATAAGAAAAAAAAACTGTACAATAGGTACCATACGATATAAACATAAAAACTGTATACAAATGTCGTGACTATGATATTATTTCTGGACTTTTGTAACATGATTTTTGCAGACGCTTTCACTTCGTGCATAAATCGTTTTGGGCGATTAGATATCGTCGTCAACAATACGGCTGGCATGCAGATCGACTTATCAATCGACGAACGGGACGAAATGAACGATGCGATCATGCGTGTACACTATGTAGGCATAAATAACCGCTAGATTATTTGTTAGATAATACATGCACATTGTCTGTACCTACAGGATCATTCACAACAACGGTGTAGGTAACTACTTTCATTAAATTCTATAATTCTCATTGTGATTGTAGGGTGGAGTTGTCAGTGGAACGCTTCTAGCTATCAAGTACATGGGAGCTCCAAACGGAGGTAAAGGTGGAACTGTGGTGCAGACCACATGCTGCGAATCGGCAACTAGCAACGTTGTCGGATACACGAGAGTGATCGGTGTAAGTTTATCGAGATGTAGGGGAGAGGGGGAGGGGGTGGGTGGTTCGCCTTCCCAATGGGATTTGAGGCTTGGTTTATTTTTTGTATGTATTTAAAATAATTGCTATGATATTAATGTAAAATTAGAATAAATTAACAATCGCTAAAAAAAAAAAATGAATTCAAGACATGTAACACTTAGGTATTGTGTAGTTATGTGGTATCGAGGTGTGAACCTTCATAATATAAACATAATAATATCAAAAGTTGTAATAAAACAAAAAAAATAAATGTTTACCACCACCTTTGCATCCATTCTGATTGAGTTTAGACGCACGCAACTGTCGAGACATGGTACTTATACATAATAGGAAGGTACTCATCATTTAGGTATCAATAAATAATAGTTGTTGTTGATACTGATACCAGTACTACATTGAAAACGTATATGAAATTATTACTCATTAACTACTCGTTGGATATATAATTAATCAATACAAATAGAAAAAACTAGATTTATTTAGCAAGACCGTAGAATATTTTGTGCAGATATATTAGACATAGGTGTGCTATTAACATATACGTATTTATTCATCGTAATCTAAACTTTTTCAAAATCACAGATATAATTATAAATTACTKTTGTAGAGCGCGTGGAAAAAAATCGTCCGTTTGTATTGTAAAACGTATATAATATCATTATAATAAATAATGATTATAATTATAATTAATTAGGAATTTAAATTCTCCTTGCGTTTTCATGAAATAATTCATATTTGTGGAAAATAGAGTTTATTTTTTGTGTTCAAAACTAGGTACTATATTATAAAGTGTGTCATGTGATACAAAATATAACGATAATATATAACAAGAGGTGTCCAACGATAAGTGCTACAACAGTACAACTAAGCTAGTATAATAAGGCCAAAAAAAAAGGGTATACATATTACAAATTCAAAATGGGAACATTAGATTAGGTTATGGTCTATATCGCTAATTCTTGTATAATACCATCAAATATACCACAAACAATTGAAAAAAAATTTGGGAAAAAATTTGGTAAAAAATGGTGATAATTCCGCTAAATATCGTTTAAAGTCATTTGTATTGAACTAATCATACTTTTTAACCATTCAGACAATGTATAAATATTATTTATTTTTTACGAAATAAAAATGTACCTATTTTAAATAATTTAGGATATATAAAAATAAAAATATATTAAAATAATTTCAGAATTTGCACAAATTCGAAACTTTACGTTACATAGATATTATTTTATTTATTACCTGGTTTCGGGACTTAAAATTATTTGCCGATTATTTTGATATGAACATAATATTTAAAAGAGTGCTATTTAAATTGATGTAAATATTATTACAATTTTGATTATTCAATTTGAAGTGTTTATTGGTTTTTTCAAAATACCTTTTATTAGTTTTTCTGCTTTTTATAAAGAAGCTAGATGATAGCCACTTACAAAAAATAATTAGTAGTAGTCATAGAAGATTATACCTACTCAGTGCAGGTATAATTTCCGAGTATATTTTACTACATAAAAAGAGAAATACTATGAAAGTTTTCATGGGGATATGTCTATATTTTATTTTGAATTTTTTGGGTAGAGAATTAAAATTGAAATCGATTTGTTTTGCTTATTTTAGTGTTTTTTAATGAAGCTACTATTGAATGGTTTTTAAAGGCTTATTATTTGAAGTCCCAAAACATGACTATTACATTACACATTTTATAGAATATGTTTGCTATTTAAACGTATAACATGAATTCTGCATTTCAGTACCTCCGAGATATATATTTTAACATAGGTACTATTGTTATATGTGCAAATTATTGTACCTACCACAGTAGCATGTATAAATAAATGATTAGGTATGCGGTCATAGTATGAAATATGAATGATGACTCACTGCCGACCACAGTATAGATAGTATGAATGTGTATTGTATTAAATTCAGTAGAATGTAAGTAGGTACTAGGTATTAAAACATGAAATTATATATTTTTAAATATTTGTTTTTAAATAATGCTTTGTAAGTTATAATTATATTTATATTTTAATTCCGTATGCGAGCTTAGCATAATATGAATTGATTCAAAAATAAAAAAAGCTTATGTTTGTTAATGCAACAATTAAAAAATCGAATATATGTTTATTTTATTATTGAAAATACATTTAAATAATTAATAATTACGTGATAATTAGCTTCTTACTTTCCTCCTACAAATCATAAGATCAATATATTTATCGAATCATTTTATTTTTCTATTAGGACATACGGAGTTCACATCACTTGAATATAAGAACCATGGCATTATGTCCAAGAAATGTGTAAGTGTATACCTACTATATTTGTTGAGTATGAATAATTAATAAGTACAATTTACTTAGCAAATAATAATATTGAAGTCAGAAATTAACAATTTTTTATTTAATTTTTTTTTAGATCGGATAATGTTGGCAAAGCTTTAATTTATATTTTGGAACAAGGTTGTTCCGGTCAATATTGGATTGTGGAAAACGAAGAAACTCCAACATTAGCAGAGTAACGATCTATAATATAGCTTTAAACTTAAAAGAATATTAAATATTAAACTAAAACATAAATAATATTAACAAACCTAAAAAGAATTATTAAGGTATTGAAAAATGTATTATTTATCAAAATTTTTAAATAAAAAATATGATACAAAACTGTCAAAAAGTAAAAAGTAAAATGTTTATCATTCAAAAAATATTTATGGGTTTTAAAAATTATATGACTACTGATGTACCTATAACGTACTATAAAATAAATAATCTATTTCTTGATAGTGACATATTTAAAAGATACTGTGGATGCGTATTATCACGTTTTGTTCGATTTTAAATTTTAATTATCTAAATAATTTGTAACCAGGTAAATTAAAAGAATATTATTTTTCAATTTAAAACGTTTTACATGACGTGTGGTTTTTGTTATTAATCTCATCTTGGTTATTTCGACTAATTAAAGTTTGCAAATGATTGATAAAGTTTATTTATTTTTTATTGCAGTTATACTCGTACATTGTCTATATTAAACGTTACGTGTGCAATCGTCTACGAAACGAATTTACGATAAAACCATGACGTAAATGATTTACCTTAGCAGTATAAATATTCAACATTTTTCTGACAACAAGGGCGTAGCTAGAAATTTCATTAGTAGGGAGGGGAAGGGCAGCCAAGTTTATTTTCTAATGCTTACTCAATTTAAAAATAACATTAAACATTTATATATTTGTTAGCTAAGGATAGTGTATTGAAATAGAAACTTCAATACCTTAGTCTAAAAATCCGAAATAGTATTGGGAACTGGACCTTTACTCATACAATTCTTCGAATGATCATAAAAGATCGATTCATTCAATTTACACAAGCAAAATAATAGTTCAATTTCAATTAACTGATGTAGAACGTTGGTGAACATTGCAACTTATAAAACTAATCGGGTTGCCATTTTCAAACCGTGTGTTAAGCAGTTATTAGTAATATTACGAATTACGTGCATGAAATATTCATTTTTAATACAGTTAATAATTAAATTAAGAGCAGGTGTTTAAATGTAAATATTATAAATCGTACATGTACATTTTTATCAAGTGGAAATTACATAGATTCTACTTAGTATACGTTTCCCAATTCCGATCGAAAATGCGTTCCTAATTTATGCACAAATTAAAATTAAAATTTGCGTTTAAAAATACAATGCAAAAGTCAACAACAATTGAAATAACAATATTCAAATCCGACTTATAACACGATAATAAATATTTAGAGATTATTGGATTAAAACTAACGAATGAGTGTGCGGTTCAATAAATCCAAAGTTTTTACTTTACACGTATAAACGTAAATAGTTTATTACGTATTACACGTAATAATACTTTACGCATTATTTATACGTTAACGGTTTTCAACACGTACAGTTTTTTTACCCACGTAATATTTTATTGTTACTGGCAATAGCTTGTTGAAATTTTTTAGCTACGAGCTAGACCCTTTAAAGTCTATTGACTATTATTGACACTCACTAAAATATTTGTAGTATTTAAGAGATAACATTAAATCTTATACTAAAATTATTTAGAAATTGTAGCCCCCCCCTCCCCGTGATTAATCTCTAAATTGGTGTAAAGTTGAAGTAGTGTGCAAATTATTTTAAAAAAGATGTAAAATAACAAAAATTATAATATTTATAAAAAATTGTTTTAACAATTTTAAGTCGGAATATAGGAAGTATAGTAAGGTAGATAATTTTAAATAATTTTATCGTACGTTATTTGTACGTTATTGAGTATAGAGTAGAATGTGTAAGTAGGTATACGTAAAAACAAATAATATACCTAATAAACAGGCTAGTTATAATAAACAACACTATATTCATTACTAATTGATTTTTAAATTGACTAAATTTAAGAATTATCATTCATTAATCATCATAAAATTATAATGGAACTATTGGAAATACTAAGTCTTRCTATTTTTATAAAGTACCTACTTGGTTTTTATAACATAGATAAATGTATTTACATACCACGTATTAGACCATACGATGTGAATTTATTTTATTATGAGTGATTTTAAATTTAAACGATCAATTATTTACTACTAAATCATATATAAAAACAAAAATAATTAAAATATAAAAAAAAAAAAAAAAAAAAAAAAAAAAATAGTAATAATAATAATATTATGGACATATATACTTTTTGTTTTATTTTTAAATAATTATTTCGTATGAAGCAACATTTTAATAAAACATATTATATCTGACCTTCTGATTCAAATTTAAAAACTGCAATTTTTATATTCATTTAATTTCTAAAAATACAAGACTTTTTTTAACTTTCAGGTAAGATTTTTTTTTTAAATCTTAAATGTGAAATATGGCTTGAAAGATCAAAATTGACTTATAAAACTAAATAACATCTGATTTCAAAACTATTATTGATGTATTGGTGTATAACTACCGTAACTACTCAAACCACCGACCCACCCAAACCTCAACCAGTTGAAAAACTTTCTCTTAAAAACCTCTTCACCACGCCACTGGTTACAGTTAGTACCTACTATTCACCTTCTGAGTTTCTATTCGGAATATTTGAATTTGTGAGAATATCAAGATGTTTTACTTAGTAATCTGTACTGAAATGATGAGGTACAATTATAAAATTATATATTTTAATACTTTATCATTATTAGATAGATATTATTGTTTTTGCTACTTTATTTCTAGATGAGTAGATAAATTAAAAAAAAACACTTCTTTGATCAACTTAAATAAGTTTTCACTAATTAATGAAACATTCATTAAAACAGGGCACCTACATTTTTCAATTTACAATAGTGGAAAAGAGAAAGGCACACTTTTGATGTAAACGTGTTACGACCGTATATTATTAAAGCTCTAAGACATATCAAATAACTAATGATTAATTCTTTAAAATTAACAATAATAATGGAGAAAGAAAAGTACCCAGACTTTCAGAATTGCATAAAATAAATGAATAAGGCATTGGAAGACTAATTAATGACTAATTAAGAACAGTTGAAATTTCTACATAAACTTATTAGCAATATTCTTTATTAATGTGGTATACCCAGAACCACAGTACATATAAAATGTATAAAAGCTCTATGCGTTTTAATACAATAAACTTTCACATTCACGCAAAAAGCTACAAACAAAGTAGGATTTATATGGATTTAATTTTCTTTGATCTCATTTTATATTAAGTATGATAGTATTAAATTTATAGATTATTATCGACCTGTACATGAAATAGATTTCAAAGTATTCCCAGAATAAATTATGTAAGTACCTACCTACCTGTTATGTGCGCTGAATAGCCATCAAAATAACCTACGTATTATTAGTTATACCGGCCGCAGAGTGATTCGTTGAGCATTCTCTCATTCATTTTTYCCTATAATAATGAATTTATTTGAACTTTGATTTTGGTATTTGTATACGTACATAGGCCATAGGGATCATAATATTTTTAAGCACATCAATTTTTTCATACCAATTAATTTTTAAGCTTTAAGGAGTGTCTTCTTGCGCCATAAACTTATTTTTAAATTTTGATATTTCCAGAACCCAAATCAAAAACGCRTACATATTTTAACTATTATTAATTAAAATAATCGGAATTCGAATAAATAAATTACCAACAGAAAACTGGTGAATAGTATGTTTGGTGAAACACTATTTATAGTTCTCATATTGTGTCAACATTCATCCAAGTATTTCATTTCTTAAAAAGCTTTGACTTGTAACATGAGTTATTCCAGTTGATCAATATAACCTAACTAGAAAATGAAGCTCAAAACTTATGTTTTCAATTTATAATTTAAATTTTGTTAGTTTGACACTTTGGGTRATTAAAATAAGTTATGTTATAGTTTCAGTATTCAGGTTTAGTGCTAGTAGTACATTTCATAATTTATTGTCATATTAATGTATTGCAGGTATAAGATTAAGTTGAATTTTGTAGACAAGGGGTGACGCTGGTTAATAATAATTGAACGCCTAATATGTTTACATAGTAAAAATGTATAAAGGTATACATTTTTTTTTTTATCTTCATTTTAATCATTTTATTTAATTATATATGGTTATATTCTTATATTGTTTATAATTTAAAAGTTATGAGTTTATGTCGGTAGTTATTAGTAGGTATATTAGATATGTCTTTGAATTGTTTTCATCGTAACTATTCATAGTTCTTTGACCTCTCTGCAGTGTTATATAACTGGTAAAACCAATGATTAGACTTGAACCTACCTATATGACTGTAGATTTATTTTGGAATTTACAACATGTCTACAATCATACAGATATCAAGKCAAATGCGTTTATTATACAAATATATTTGATTATTTCCAATGCTTTTATGCAAACCGTTAATTATAAAAAGTGTTAGGTATTAAATACAAGMAAATTTTCAGCACGATGGCGATGCCACGAGGGAATATAAACATCCCAATTTGTTTTTATAAATAACAAAATTACCAGAAAATTGTATTTTTTTGTAATATGAATCTGAAAATGTGTTAAAATTAGTCAGTAAAATTAATTTTTAATCTTAATGCCAACCACTGGAATCYAGGCTAAAAGTCATCTTGGATTTAAATGTGAATTGAAAATATTTCGATTTATAAAACAGTTTTTTWAAATGTTGTGCATGTATTAATTGTATACAGATTGTAAATATTTTCTAATAAAAAAAAAAAWWTTGTGCATAACATGAAGAAATATATAATWYAATTACATTCACTTATAAAATATTTAAAATCATRTTTTAGATATGCCTTTTCACAAGAAGTATTTTAAGAAGAAAGTTTAATGATGGATAAGTGTTGAGAAAAGGTTAATAAATTTTGTCGTCTTGGATGAAATTGTTAACAAAGTTTTTAGGGTGTAAAATTAAAATAGGTATATTAATAAAATGTATATTGTGAATTGGTGTGTGGTGTTTTGCTTCAATTACAAATATGCTCTAAGTACCAGGGCTGCTAGTTACCGGACGCGCACCCCATCCGGAGTCTTAGTGTAGAATCTTTGCCACACACACATGTGTTAAAAATCAATCACCCTTCCTCCAATAGCTAATGAGTAATGACCATAGTGGCTGGTTCAAGATCATTAAAAAAAAAATGTTATAATTTTTTYATTATTAAATTTCTATAGTTTCTTTTTAAAATGTTTCACTTTTAAGTTGAATTGTTTTATTGCACTTTTTAATGTGAGCGAAGGAAGCAATTTAATTTTCTTTGGTGGCTGCTTTAAATTAATTCTCTATAAAAAAAAAAAACCAATTAGTTTATGCCTGTAACCTGTAAGGTCTAATAACTTTTGATGAAATAAAAATATTTTTCATAATATTTATTTTTTWAATATTAATTTTCGAATGTTCTATGGGGTAAAAACATAAAATTATCTCAAAACATAATTCGATGACAAGAATTAATTATAGGTATAACAATATTTTTAAATAAACTAGGTGCTACTGCTTTTAATAATTTGGGAAAGATTAATGAAAAAATGCAATTAATATTCAACATAYCTCTATTAACACTGGTATATCTACGTACATACTGATATGTTAAACTGAATTTTGTCAATAAATAAGAGAAAATTCCATTTATATTTCAAAATGTTTATTACATGTTGTATTATACATAATATGTAATACGATTTATTACAACTAAAATATTATTATATTAAAAAAAAAACAAACATAATATCAATCAACGTTAAATATTTAGTTAACCTAAAAGTAAATATTTTACTCTACACACAAATATGTATTGAGTGAACATCGATAATACTAACTATAATAGTATTGTGATTGTACTGCGGTTGGCACAAGGTAAACGGTACAAAACCCGGTTATGCTTAATATATATAATCATACATTATAGTATTTACAATATTCAGGAGTATGTCATTTGTTACGATTAGTACAATTTACATTTAATGTAAGTACGACCATGTATAACCGTCTAAAYCGATTTTCAAATTATTAGTTTTAAATCGTAAAAAAGTGGCTTGGTCATTTGCAATAATACACAGGKTTGAGCCTAAATCAATAGGCTAGCAAAAAATCAAATCATWAACCAAAATATAGATATAGAAATATTCAGCTTGTTTTTAGTATTTTTAATGAAAATGATAATTACGAATTTGGCCCCGTTTATTATAGTGGTATGATTTTTTATGTTATTACAAATTGGTTGTATCTTATAGTTTTTATTACTTATTTTCTCGTCAAAATTTAACAATTACCGCGATAGTACTTGACAATTTATAAATTCGTCTTACTATTGATTTTTTTTTTTTATTTACACAGCGTGATAAGTTTTAAAATCTCAACAAAAAAAAAACAAAACAAAAAATGAAAATAATTTATTATTTTATTTTAAAGTACGAACTAATTTTCGTAGTTTAAGTTTTATTTAAACTTATCAAGACAGGTAAAATCGTCAATTTAGATAAAATAAAACGTTTTATATTCACAGCATGTTTGGTATTAGGTATGAAAGATATGATTGTTAAATAATAATAATATTACAATATATTTTATCAATAGGAGCTTGGTGTGACGCGATGGTGGGCTGCAGTCGCTAAAGTGCGATATGGTCAATCATCGTCTTTCATCGTTGGATCCCCCAGTTGGATGACCACTCGGATTCTTGGCGACGAATCCTTGTACCACATAAAAATAAATG